CCAGAGCAGATGCTTCTGGGAGGCCAGGGAGGGGGTGGGGTGGCGGGGGGGGGGCGTTATTAGAAAACTATGAGAAGATGCAAGGCAAGGGATGTGATAGATTTAAGGCTAGAACACAGACCTCCCCCCCACCCACACACACAGAGGTAGAAACCCTGAAGCATCACACCCTGCACATAAAACTGATATGATATAAAGAAGCTTTAGGTAAAGGAAAATACAAAAGCTATCTCTCAACCTGGACCCTGTTTGAAAAGAGTCGACAGTAAAGAAGTCTTTTCTGAAAATTTGTAACCATGAGCTTGTCTTCCATCAAGCTGATGGTCACATTTATATTTCCTGCTTATAGCAAATAACAGGAATAGAACATGTATCAAAGGCCATGACCAGCTTTTTCTTCACTTTCATGGAAAAACAACGAATAGCATAGAAACTGGAACCAAAAGGATATGTGTAACTCTATTGCAAGATTTCTTTTGGTTTGATTTTCTATCAGCAATAATTTCAAATGAAGATTTTTGCCTTAGAGAGAGGCAATTTGCACTTCCTAATCAAGAAGAACATAAAATCTTTGGTAGCTTCGGTGGCCTCCACAGATCAAGCCATTTTAGAAATTGTAATGTTTTGACTTGACATTTAATGCCAGATTCTTACTAAAACATTTATACAGCCCCTCTCTCTAGGAAATTTTAATCTTGCCTCAGAGAAAAGTCAGAGGCATAAGCCCTGTGGATCTGTATACACCACACTCTTGTTTTCCATTTTCCAGCTCCGTCAACAGGTACCTCACATGATATGATTTCAAGATCCTGTCCTATTATAGTTTACAAAGTCAGGAAAATGCCGCATATTTATAATGAGTGGTGGATGATATCAAAGTTATTGTGAAAAAGTGCTCAGGGACCAAATACTAAATAAATGGAAGCTGAACAAGTAAAACAAAGAGAGTGAGTTTGGAGAACATTTTAAACCCTCATTTCCAGGGATGGAGTGAGTGCAGTGTCATGAATCTGTAAGTGCCAGAGGCCACAGCTATGTAAGAGGACAAAGTACTTACAAAATACACATTTTGAAAGGAAGAGTTATAGGGAAGAGGAGTTAGCTAGAGATGCCTGGCAGATGCCACCATTCTCCATCAGAATAATTCTAGCTAGGATGAAGCTTACTTGATGTCTAGTTGACCAAATGATGATTCACGAGTCTATTGAATCTGTAAGCAAGCCTCCGCCACTAAGCTACAGTAAGTCTCTATGGACATCTGTATGACTGAGTGAGCTTTAAAAGACTCCTGAAACTCAGGCAATCTCCTGAGTGGTTTATTCCATAGATAAGATTGAATACTTATATAAAATACTTTTTTCACTGTCAACAAATTCTTTTTTTTTATATCAACATGTCATAAAATAAGCAAAAACATGAAAGTCACAGAAACCGACAGCTACTAAGCTCTCTTGCTAAGCCTCTGGGTAGGCCTATAGCTGTTCCAAAGTAATAATAAGCAAACCAAAAAAATAATCTAGGTTTAGTTGTCAGTAATTAGACATAATTTTCTATTTTAATCTAATAATAATAGCATTGTTTTCATTTTTAGAAAACTCTGGAGAAAACCCAGAGGACTGAGTTCCCAAGAGGGAGGCCAAGAATGTCTTCATCTCTTTTCAAGTTACAGGTTTAGTTCCCATTTCTTTCCCGATCTTCAAGGCCCCACAAAAATAACTGTGTCCGATCTTCTCCCACATTACCTGTTGCCATGCCTCGTGAGGTTGCTCCCTCTCCTCTGGGCACAGCTGAGAACCCTGATTCCCACCTTGGCCCTATGTGACTTCAGGGAAGACCTGCCTTCATTGACCACCCACCCCCACGGTTGCCCACTTGTAAGCTGTCGCTGGCCCCCAAATACCAGTTATTCCTTCAGATTTCCATAGCATTATTGCCCTGTTTCCCTCAGTGTTTGCTTGCCTTTTTCCTGCCATTTTCCACATTTACGATGTTGAGATTTGATCTCCCTGACAAACCTGAGTGCTCCTTGAAAGGAAAAACCAGATTCCTAACTCTTACCACCTGATCCCCGCACCCTCCCCCATCCCCCCACCCCCCACTGCTGAGCTTGGCGGTAGCTCAGTGTCATGAACCTCCGGACATGCCTTTCCTTCAAACCCTAAAACTCTAAGGACAAAGAAATAAAAGTAGGAAGGAAGAAAAGGGAGAAGCAGTTGTGTGAAGACCTGTGATACTTTGGCACCTATACTTTGGAAGGATACATTTTATCCTCAAAGAGTGCGTCCAAATAGAACTTCCTCTTACCCTGAGAGGAATTCTAGCAGAGTGCTTGGGTCACATGTTTTTCCTTGGTGGCAGAGACATATTTGTATACTCTCAAGCTTAGACTGAACAGCTAGGAAACAAGACCTGGCATCTGGGAACACCAGTTCACAGTCTCTGCCTCTGCATTATCTCTGTCAGCTCCACACCAACAGAAGCAGATCGTTTGCAGTATGACCCGCCGACCACGGCAAAGTCTCAAACGTGAATCTGCCAGGTTTGTCCTAGCAGGAAGCAATCCAAAGGTCACTGGCTATATAAGCAAATCATCCTATTCTTGTCCAGAGTCAGTTTACAGTGCTTCTCAAATTTTGCTGCACATTAGAACTCCTGAGGGCATCTGGAAATCCTTACACTCAGCTATACCCCATACCGTTTAAATAGGAATCTCTGGGAAAAGACCCAGGCATCACTGTTTTGAAGTCTACCTGCGATTTCAATGTGCCACAGAGAGAAGCAGTTTCACCAGGTCCACTGCAGATGGGACATCTGCAGTGATAATGTTAGATAACACCGGCTCATTCAGAAGTGAGCACATGACTGCAGCAATGTGGCAGTCTTACCAGCCGTCACCTGAATGGCTGAGAATCTCAATATGGGAAGCCATTCTACAGCAGCTCCACATTTTTTCTCTTCTCTGTGATCTTATAGGCCCTATTAGCATCTCCACCCCAAAGATAACAAGAGGAATCTAGAAATGACAACACTACATTTCATTTTCTAGAGTGGGAGAGGCGTGCTGCTCACAGTTGATTAGAATCACTAGGAATATTAAAGCACATCTATGCAGGGCCCCCTCTCAGAGATGCTGCTCAGTAGACTGGGCTCCTTAATGTGTGATCTCCAAATAAGCTGCACCTGTGTCACCTGGGCAATGAAGTCTCAGGTCTCACCTCAAGCCAAATGGACCAGAGACTCAGAATGAGGGAATGGAGTAAATCATGTGTTAATAAACCCTCCAAGGAATGATGATCACAATAAAATTTGAGAATTGGTCTACAGATTTCAGTGATTTTGAAGACATCCACATTCTGGGGCAGGCAAGGCAGACTTGTGGGCTAAGTAGTACTGGCATAGGTTGCTGACAACTGTCTCTTCATTGCAGTTCCGTCGATCTCCTGATCTTTCATGAGAAAGAGTGCCTTTCACTGTGAGTATGAGAGCTCCTGCATTATGTTGAAAATAATAGATCTGGTGTTGGCAAGTTCAGCCATTTTAACAACTGGATTAGATCAGCAGTAAAGCCTGTTGAACTACTCAAATATTTGTGAATAAAATGTCCTGTCTTCATCATCTCCCCATCAAGTGAATCGACTTTCTTCCAAATATCAAACAGCCAATCATCAGTGACTTCATGACTAAATATAAACTTTTGAGTCAACAGGATGAAAGTTATATGAATATGAATTATCTTTTTCATTTTGAAATGGACTTTGGGGTCAAAATTTTATGCTGTGACTGGATTTTCATCTCATCCTTCAGAGAGAACTGAATAATTTTAAAAGCTCAGTTTTTATTTGTGCAAAGTTGACATTTCGAAGTCTAGCTTTCATGCAGTCAGGATTGAAGCCTCTGGCAAGATATGTAATAAATGGAATCTTTATATGAACATTGACTCATACTTTACATAGAGGAAGTTACTATGCAGTGACTTTGGCTTCAAAGAGTAGCAAAAAGGCTGGTTGTTCACATCTGGGACTGCTGTTGGCTGGGTTTGGGGATGAGAACTTACCTCTCTTGGCCCTTCAATGATGCTTCATGAGAAAGGGCGTCATCATATGAATCAGTCCATGTTTCTGAGAGTCTTTGAGGATAAGTTATTGATGTGGTATAAATGATCTATTAACAGCCTTAGACAAAAGTGGTCATTGAGGTGGCAAATATGCCCCTTTGTCCCCATGCATCAAAGTCAACAGAGCTGTTAACTCACAGACAGTTGAGGACCCCAGTCAGCTTACTGAGACCTTACCTCGAGGACAGTAGACATCGGGAGCCCATCGGTTGCATTCATAATTGTCTGCTGCCTTCTCGCAGGTGAAACATTTAAATCCACCAGGATAGGGTGTGGCTATAAAAAAGGATCAAAAGGAAAGATTAATTTTTTAAACTGAACAGAAGGTGCATCAGCAAGTTAGATATTTTAATTTTTTTTGTAAAGAGCTCTCAAAACTGCCTGACAGTTTCTCAAAAAACTAAATATGTAACTACCATATGATTCAGCATTTGCACTCTCGGGCCTTTATTCTGAGAAGTGGAAACTATATTCACACAGAAACTTGCACACAAGTTCTGGCTTCACAATTTTTCGTACTAGCCAAAAAGCTGGACACAACAGAGACTTCCTTCAATGGGTGAATGGTCAGAAAAATTGGTACAGCCATACTGTGGAATACTAGGCAGCAATAAAAATGAACAATTAAACAAACAAACAAAAAAACCCTGGGCCCTCCCTGGTGGCACAGC